TGAAAAGCGTGAATCTAGAGTGCAGTATTTTAAATTGACCTGAATTTTCTGTTCCACCGATAGAGCAATTTTCCTTTGATACTTTCATCCGTTTACAAATCAGCAAAGAAGACGGCTGAACCTTTTTACGGTACAAAAAATGTATATTTCCTTCATTATTTTTAAGCTGATAAAGATTAGCTATTAAAGGGTCTAAAAGTGAATCTACCAAAGTGGATTGCCGAGGCAGCAATAATATTAATTCAATTTTGCATTCAATCTATTTCATTTTAAGAAAACTTTTAATTGAAGGAAGATCTAGATAGATCAGAATTATTTGTTCGATCCGGTATATTTCGATGCTACTCGCAAGACACACTCGGACGGTTTTAATCGTACTGGAACAGTGCCATGGGCATGCGATCAATCATCGCGGAAAGTTACAATTAGACACGTTGGATCGATGGATAGTGTAAATTCATATCCGTCACTTTAATTTTAACGATTGCGGTTAAAAGCGTGGTAGTAGGGGCGAATGGGTGAACAATTTTACAGAGTGTACAAATCTAAAATTTAAAAGACTAGATTGGTAAAAGTAATAAAGCATCTGTCAGTTAAACGGTCGACGTGTCGAGGACTTCCAAAAATATCAACGGGAACGGAATCTGAATCGGTGGTTGGTGCAATCGCGGCGATGCCGATGGCTGTGAATCGCGGAAGGAGGACGACAGACAACTGTGCCTGATGACGAGAATAAAGAAGAAAAGATGGAAAACGGGAAAGAACGTAGAAAGGCAACCGAATGTTACATCGAACGAGCGAGAGAACAAACGATGGAGAGGAAAAAAAAAAAAAGAAGGGAAGAAGAAAAAGAGGGAGTTCCTCGGGCGAAACATCACGTTCGACCTCACATCGAACCAGAAAATCGTACAGTGTGCAAAACAGCCTCGAACTAATTCTTTTTCTCTTTCTTCTCGCCTCTTATGTTTTCTCTATCTCGTCCCAAATGTATATTGCCGCTCGTTTCACCACAACCCCTAGTCTATCAACGAGATACCAAACGGAACGTGGATTACTTTTAGGAGAAATAAATATTCAGGTATTTTCAATACGTCTGATGAAAGACTGAGAAGTAATCTAAAATGACACATTTTGCATGTATCAATTCGAAGCTTCATAAAAATAACTACGCGAACTTAGAAAAATAAAAATAATTATAGGATGATTGTAGCGGAAGAAAGTAGACAGATATTACCGGTGTTTAGCTGCTGGAAGAAACATTAGAGCAGAAGTTTCGTTATTAAGAAAAGTCCAATGCAAACTGTAAATATGAATTGTTGAAGTTTCCGAAGGGAAACGGGGGGGGGGGGGGGGGGGGGGGGGGGGGGGAATGTTTGCCAAATTTATTTTCGTCGTTCGAAGCAGAGGGTGGACGGTATCCCCGATCGATCTTATTTCTTTTTTTTCTTTTTTTCTTCCCCCTCGGTGAAATTGTACGTTCGACAGTGGTAACTGGAATGTTCATCATTGTTCCCGGTGCCGTTGTGTCCAAAGTTGGAAATGATTCATTAGTAATGGTAGTACCGGTGCGAGGCGGCATCGGGAATTCAATACGTTCCCTGGCAAGTTTTCGATTAAATCAATCGCCGTGAAGTTTCAACTCACGGTATTATTTGAATCTTGCCCGAAGTTTAAATATCCTAAAAGTATTGCGGGCAATTAAGTGTTCCGAAGTTACCGGAACTCACGAAAAACTAATACGTTTAAATCTTTCATTCCGATACTTTCGATAATTACAATTCCCTTTTTTTTAACCTTTGTTTCGAATGAAACTGAACAATCACCTAGTTTTTTTATCTATTCTGGGCAGTGTTATTTATCGAAATCGGAACACTTGACGGGAACTGAAATAGTGACACCTGATAGCTTTTAATCGTTCAATATTCATTAAAATTTCTCAGGAAGTACTTTTAATGTTTTTATTCAATGGCTTATCAAATTATCAATGACATTAATTGATTGCTTGACGAAGGAGAATCATGAAATGTGTATTAAAATTCATTTGTCTGACTTATCGTAAGTTATACTACTTAATTTAGCGTTGAAGAAAGAGTACTCTACCTTTTCTCTTATTTTCTCTATCCTGAAATAAAAATTATAATTTAATTATACATTTTTCCTATTTTTCCTTTTATAAATATTTGATTCACATTATCTGGTCAAAGTTTAATAACCCTTTTTCAAGTGAAAAATTAAGGCCAATTAGATGCAGGAAGAATAAAGGTGATGCATTTAAAAGGTAGCAGCGTGACGAGTTCCAATTTTCATGATAGTTATTAAATCACGTGACGGGATTAAAAAGTTTTCAGCTGTCGACAAACTCAGGCACATTATCAATTTAAGTTATATAAAAAAAAAAAAAGAGGGGGGCAGGCAAGGAAATATTGTGATGATGATGCATTTTCTACTTGGTTGACAATAGGATTTTGAAACTATGTTGAAGAAGAAGTAGAAGGAAATTTGCTCGAAGGAATTAATAAAGCGAATCTGCTTCCAACCGAAGTATACAGAATGCAAGTTATCTATAACATACAATTCCCTGAACAATGTTCCTTGTATAGTGGCGAATCTTAATACCAAGCGATATTAAATTTCTTCGTCAAGATTCTCATTTAGAATATAATTTTAATTCGCCTACCCATTGTGGCTTGTAAATAATGCTCGATCGAGAGCAAATGGAAAGCTTGAAATTTAAAATTAAAAAGTTCTTACTAATTGGAGTCTCGATCCGTTCAAAATATTATTTTAATATCTATTATTATTCTTCATAACTAGAATCTCAATGCATTCAAAATATTATTCCGAATAGCATTGGTGGTATGATAGAAAACAGAGTAGAGGAAATTTTTAATTTTCATCTGGAAAAAGAAATCGTCGATAGTAGGATCGAATTTAGCCAAGGGTAGGAAAATAAATTTGACAATCCGTAAGTTTCCTAACTCGGCGGGGACTTAGAAAATTTCTACCATCAAGAGACGCTGAAGTTTTCTTAATAAGGAATCTCGAATTCCAACTGTTTTGGTAAGTAGGTCACGTTGCATGCGATTTCCTGCATACCCTTGCCACCTCCAGCAAGTGGCTTCTGTAATGTGGCAAGGTAAACCACCGCCTTACGGTACAACTTGTTCCTATATGCATGCTACATACATACATGCATAAAAGCACGAGGAAATGTTACCCCTTGTTGAAGACGACTCGAGAAAAAATGCATACCACGTGTCTATGACTGCACCAGCCAAATGAAAAGGAATGCAGCTGTGCTTGGGAAACGAGCGTATACATCACGTTTCAACAGATATGCATGCCATCTCGGATCTCGACATGGCTCAATTAAACATTTTCTATTCGCTCTGACAATGAATGCAACATGTGGTTAGAGATACTCTTCATCAATAATTAACGCCCTTATTATCGCTACTCTTAATTAGATGAGTCAATAAAAATTCTAATAACGTAATTGATGGAATCCAAAGAAAATTTAAGCATACCTCCAATGGATGACATAGGCTATCAAATTATTAAAATTAAAATTTCTAATGTAACTTTACGAAATTGTTAGTAATTACAAATTGATTATTGAAATACAAGATTTGTACAGGATGTATAGTTAACCTAGGTATATCTCAGAGGACCTTCCAGTTCAAACAGTGAATGTGGACAATAAGACCCCCTAGTAGAAACTTGAACTTCCACAAACTCTATGTCGTCTTTGAAACAATGAAGTTCAATTTCTACAAAAGCTTGCATGCTTGTTTGACCGGCTAGCTTTTTTATCATTATTTAATGGTGCATTTTTTCAAATTGACATACCAGAAGTACCATTTCAGAATACTTTTAATCGTCCATTTAATATGAAACAGACGTGTACCTTGTATTTTTGGTAAAATGAGATGTATATAAAATAAGCAGGTGCAGGTGATCTCCTATATTCCACGGAATATGCCCTCTGATATCCAAATACAGAATATAAAGAATGTCGATTCGTATATTGTATCCAGTGAAGAAATGGAAAAAGAGAATATGGGGTGAGAATGGTGCTAAAGCGTTACCCTCTGCGAAATACGGTAAACAGTGCTGTATGGGTATGTGTCTTGGTGCTGCGGTAAAAAGTGTAGCGACTGTGAAATGACTTTTTGCCCGTGGGCTCGAAACAGTGAAGGGTTGAATGATCGCCTCTAGGGAGTACATTTTGGATCCCTTTTTTTTTTGGGCACAAGATTGACCTTACACATTAAGAGCAAAAGTTTAGATCGTTCGTTAAACTGAAACGCTTAAACGTGCTATAGATTATGACACGTTCCACTTTGTGATTTTCTACGTTTACTTTCTGATCCTCCCTATTTGCACTTAATTAATAGTTATCTTCGTTAAAACGATTTTCTTACTTTCTGCCTTTGATGTTCTCCCTTCAAATTTATTTCGCTCTACGTTAAGAATATTTTTATGAAATTACGTATGATTTAAAATTAATTCGCGTAATTAGAATTGAAATTTAATTTTAATAAAAGTTTGGGTTATTGATGTATGAAAGGTAGAGAAACGTTATACAAGAGCGACTGGGGTTTTGTTGCTATTGTAAGTAAACGAATGTAAATAGGGACTTTTTTGAAGCTGTCGAACCAGGTGAGCAGCGATAGACATTTACTGATGGCCTGTCAAAAAATTCATTTTCATGTTTTTCACCCGTCAATACGCGTTACCGTATACATTCGATACCTGATTTTCTCACTCGCAAGCCACATGTCGTTCTACAACAAGCAATATTAAACGCTTCTTTCTCTCTGTATCTCGGAAAAATTGTTAGCTCACGTTTTTATTAAAAATTAACTATTTACGAAGTCGATAAGTATGGTTTCTGTGAACCATTGGTAATATATATACCAAACAAAAAGGATATTTATTCATCTATCTTAAACTTAAAAAGAAAATATCTAAATGATAAAAAATAAAATGAAACTTACCCTGATGAAACGTAGACCGATCATTGTGTCCACTGACATGTCCCATGCCGTCGATTCCGATGAACATGAAAAAGGATGTTAATAAAACGATCATCGAGATCGTCCTCGAAGGTACAACAGCATGAACTTGCATTCCTGCTTGCCGGTTCGTTCAACGATGATCGACTTAAGATCTTAGGTGTAAGTAAGAGCGGTGTTGAATCTCGGTAACGTTAAAAAACGATAACGTTATGTTGGTGCAACGTTCAATTATTCGTGCGTCACTTTGTTTCGTAGATTGGTCCTCGATTAGCGCACCTGGTGCCGTTCCGAGCGCCTTCTGCGTGCGAGGCACGTGCTCCGAGCAATTCCCGGCCGAACGATTTCGCTCATCTCTAATTCTTCTTTCTCCACGGCTTCTCGCAATCTCATTCACAGCTATCGGCGATTCCTTTACGAACGCATCGCCGTTACGAGATTAACGATCACACCGGTAGAATCGTGTATATACCTCGGAGCCAGGCATCAAGATAAAGGAATCGTGTAGCGAAATGTAATCCCGTCGGATGGTTGTCAAAAGATTTCCTCTTCCATTCCCGTCACGAATCAGCATGGAACAAGGGTACGTGTAAACATTCAAGGTCACTGAACACTTGGAAAAAATAAATCCGTTTCGATTATAGGAAGGGGGTCCACGACGAGCTCTCCTTTCCGAGGCTGGTCCTGGTCCCTCTGTCCCGGGCCGTAGACTGTCTGCTGCCTGGAAATCCTCGGTATACGGAGTATGCTCCTGCCTACACCTCCACCTCCACCTCCACCTCCATCGTCCACCTACAACCCCACCTCCAAAGGCAACGCTTCCACCCACCACCGACTCGCCGCCGATAAACTTCCTACAGGTACCCACCGACACCCACCCTCCGCCGCCTGCACCAGCAACCCTAGTCTAACCCGGCTGGCGCTTGCGCCCAACATACTGTGCCCTGATGCCCGGGCACTGCTGCTGCCACTGCTGCTGCCACTGCTGCTGCTACCTCTGCTGCTTTCTCCTACCTTCACAAATCTCTCTCCAACTCCTCCTTCCTCTCCTCACCCTGGATCCACTCTATCCCCGGCTTCTCCTCATCCCCAGGCCACCTACACCACTCCACCTCATCCTCTCATTCACCTTTATATGCCTTCTTCCTTCTGTATCTATCTTTCTCCCACTGTTTTCTCTTCCTATTCCATTCCTCTCGCTTTTCATACGTTTCCTTCTCTACCTGTGGATGTCTCTGCTTTACCTATCGCATTTTCATCTTTTTGTTTTCCTCTTTTTTTTTTTCTCTATCTTTTTCCTTTTCCAAAAGTTTCATAGCTGGAAACCTTCCACGCTCTACGTTTTTCCCTCGGACACATGCTGTCTGAGTTTCTTGTTTCTTTCTTCGTCGGAGATGCTTGGACGAATGCCCTGGACGCATCCCGCTTGCCTGCCCAGACGTGTCCCTGGTACCAGGTAACGAGTTTCGTCCGAGCAAACTTTTCTGGGTATTGTGATCGGTGACTTTGTAAGGGTACGATGTTTGACATCCTCCCTGCTCGGTACATACGCGGATCACCCTTTCATTTCCATAGGAATTTATCTTATTATCGTGCATTCTTTCATTTCCTTCGTTAAAAGCCCTCGTATCAGACATTCGAAATTTTATATAAGGTAAGAAAAAGATTTGTTCAATATCAAATGCTTCAACGTCGCGTAGTCAATCGCATCTATGATGGATAAAGGTAGAATATCGTGCAATATCGAAACTTCCAAACGAATTTTTCTATTAGTTTTATAATCCTATGATTTACAATCTTCGATTCAAACGTCACGTAAATGTGTCACGCTATCTCTTGAATTACTCCTGTTTCATCCAACGGTTTTAAATATTAACGTAATCTCCATGGTTAGCCAGTTTTCATTTGATACAGTAATTGATGAACACTTGCCTCTCTCCAGTCTCTGTCACAGCGGTTAGATGGCTTGTTCAGTTTCTAGACACGAGATAACGAGTTTCGTTGCGACAATTCCACGCATCTAAGAAGATCACGACGTACTACATAGGAAACTACGCTAGGAACACGAAGAAGGAGACGTGGAAGATAGGTCGGAGCAGTCTGAGCTGACGTTATGAGAATACGAGAGGTGGAATTTAGAATGATAGAAGTGATTGTTCCGAAATTACCAGCCACGATCTTTGCCATCGTTAACAGGGTCAAACGATTTTCGATTCGTACTATGAACAGGGAAGATGATGTAGGACGTTCTGATTAGGATTGAGAGAAAGAAAGAAAAAAAAACAAATTAAAATTGTTAGATTATTCTTTAATACCAAATATTTCATTTATACATTTTTCTACAATTTTATAGTATGCTTGTATAATCAATTTTTCATTTCGTTAAATTGATTTCACGCTTTCACGAAACGAAGAGCAGTGATAGTGAACGCTTTCTGTGGACGGACACTGCTCTAAGTAGTATAACTGCGTTACGGGTCAGACCGTGTTTTCGCGTCAAGTGGTAGCTACCGATCAATGACGGTACGCATGAAGGAATACGTAATGTAATCTTCTGATTCTGATATAAATGAAATATTAAACATATGAAACGTGCAACATTTCATTATTGTACGTTACTGGGTTAAAACAAGGCTTTCTTCCATTGTTTTCTTAATTGCAATTAAATTGAAATTCTACATTGGTGCTATGCCACTGGTGTCTCGTTTATTGTCAATTTATATTATTTTTATCTGAGAACATAGAAGCTTCAGTACTTTATATGCCACGTCTTTTATCTCGTATCAGCGAGCAACCGCTGTTGCACGAATGAAAAGGCAGGCGCCTTATAATGCAAAGGGAAAAAAAAGAAGAAAGAAAGGAATGTTAAAAAATTAAACTGAGCTAGTATTCCTGTAGTGACATAAGCGCGGAGAATGTTGTACAACAAAAGAAGCCATTATCCCATGGAAACCATAGTTATTCCTAATAGTAACATTAATTGCAAAATTATTTAACTGAATTTTCTCTGGTGTATCTTCATGATAACTGAGCTACGATCAATAAAAGTTTCATTATAATAAATTGTAATACAAATAAAGAATTTATTAAAAACTTAAACTGCATTAAACGAAACTTAATTAACTTATGGCATTTTAATTCAGAAGCATACATTTTGGAGTGAAAATAATTACTATTTCATCAATAGTCTTAACGCTAAATGGCTGATTCTTTGTTAGAAAGAACAACCAATCAATTAACTTGTAGCTTAACACTGTCCATTAGTAAATATTCCATTTCCAATGTGGCCAGCACCTGATACTGTGCAAAAACTTTCAATAATACAAAAAATTAATATATTTTTACTTCGCTACAAAAATGCAATTTATTGTGTTAAAATGGGAATAGGATAGAAAGATTATTCTATGAAGAAACTTTTGTATTCAAAAAATGCTAAATATGTTTCGTGAAAATATAAAGGATTTGAAAAAAATCCTATGTTATTTTCTTCTGTTCGCTGAAGTGGCCAACAAATAATTTTTATATTAAAATTTCGTGTACGCGTTCAGATTGTTGTTCCCTTTGATAAAGCAGATTAATTCCTAACAGTAGCATTAATTGCAAAATACTTTGCAGAATTTCCTTCGTTATAGCTGGGTTCTGTGTACCTCTATAACGTTTGCACTTCGACCAATTGCAAACCTAGTTACGTATTCGCGTAATGCAGTTAAGCATGTAATTAACAAACCAGTAACGGGAAACGTGTGAAAGTAATTAATTGCTCAGGCCGCCTCATGACAAGGAAACAGGCCAATTAACCTTGCCAGTTGCCAGCCAAGGCGAAAGTGTTTAATTTCTAATTATTTCTCATGCGCTTAATACCCGCGTCAATTTTCGATGCCTAGGTGTTAACGAGTTTCGTTAACGACGCGACGTGTCGTTCCTCTCTGTTCTCTCAATTACGATATTCACCTTGTTCAATACTTTTATTTCTCTCATTTCAAACAATTGCAAATGAATTATCACCGTCGAAATTTAACACTTTGATCGCCATGGTGATAATCGATGACCGACACTTCGTGTCTGACTATATTCGACTTTTTCTACTGAAAAGTGAACACAGCTTTATTCTGATACAATTTTATGACTTAAAAATATCTTTAAATACAATTTCTGATATATCAATTTAAAGTTTAAGGTTTATAAAAGATGATTACGTAAATACTTCATTATCTAATTATGTTTGCATAGGAATATTCTGTGCTGACGAGTTTCTACTAACGTTCATCGTACAAGGGCGCAAGGAAGTTTGCTATTTATTTAATTAATGATAAACGTAATGTCCGGTTGACTTTGCGAGGCCAGTAGATCGAAAACGAGGTTTACATAGGATCGCCGAGTGGTCCATTGTCGTCGACAATGACAACGAGCTCTCAATTTCCGTCCGTAGGTAATACGGTAGAGAATCCGCACAAGGTATATACGGCTTAAAGCGAACTCCTTGCCGATAGTTAATTATTGCCGAGCAGAACTGATTTGCAAGTACGTCGTTTATAATCCACTTAAGTCCTAATCGAATCCTGACCGGTATCACCAATACACCCGATCGTATAATACAATTCACCGCAAAACTGAACCGGAAGAAGAGTCTTATTGTTCTCAGTATTTTTACATCCCCTTAGAAAAATCAACGCGACTTTTTTTTTTTTATAAAGTATCAATATTGATTACGTTCAATTGCAAATAAAAATTTCAAACACCATTTTATTCAACGTGTTAATGCGAGGACATTATGTAGAAGTTTGCGCTATTTTCATAAAATAGTAGGACAACGCGTCGAGGTAGGAAGTTGAGAAGAACGAAAGATAGTTCGGTGGCCAATTACTCGTGGAATTTTTACGGACGATTTAGCCACTCTTACCTACGTTCTACACCGAGTTCCCATAATGCTTTTCCCTTCAAGAATCAACGAACAAAGAAGAAAATAAAAGAGGGCGATGAGAAAAATTAGCTCCGGTTCACGTGGAAATCTCGTGTCCTGATATTTGCATGTGATCTCTCACACTGGATTTACGAACAAAGAATGGGCTTTCGGAAAACTAGGGAAAATCTTAAGAATAGTTCCTCCGGTGGTTGGATATTTTTCTTAAATGATATAATGGAAAATTTTCACGTTCCCACTTTGTAAGTTACGAATAAGAGATGTAAAATCGGAAACGAGTTCAGCGTGTATATTTATCGGTGAAAAAAAATCAATTGAACATAAAGAGGGAGAATACGGAACACGGAGGAAAAAGGAAAGTAGGAGTGATTCCGTACTGAACCGAGCATTTAAAATTTGCATGTAAATTCTTATTGTGATATTTACGGGAAAGAGACACCGCGGAGGAGGAAGATAGAGGAGGAAGGAAAAAAGACATTCTGTTTCTTTTGGTGCACGCGCTACTAGGAAATACGATAAGATACTGGGAGAACGGAATAATACAAAACAGAATAGAAAGTTTGAATGAATTTTTCAGTTTAAAAAAGCAATTCCTTTTATATAAAGCTTGGTACAATTTCATTATATAAATATATCGATCTTTTAGCACGTATAGTTTGACACGATTTTGATGACATAAAAGCATTTATTTTATACTAATTTGAAGCTTATAGTCTGCCGAAAATTATCATGTAAGCGTTTCATTAATATCTTTGATCGTTTCTGGTCGAAGATTGGCGACACTATGCTCCGTGCGGCCGGGCACTGCTCTAAGTAGTATAAGTGCGTTATGGTCAGACCGTCTGCTCGCGTCAAGTGAAAGGTACC